CACTAACCCTTATAGCCCCTAACAGCAAGTACAACAATGCAACAACAATTTCAATGCATTAAAGGGTGAATTTCAGCCGCAAAAGTCTCAGCTTGCTTGAGATTGATGAGAGTTGGACTTCCAAGCAGCAGCCACTTTTAATATCTGTCACCATTAATACTTCCCCTCCCGTTACTCCAACGCTGGTGATGCTGCCAGGGAGAGAGGCCTTTGGTCTTGTGGTTTATAATGGCTCTAGAGCACTGAATGGCATTATATTCTCATTACACGTTTTACCACTATCTGTTTGTAATCTTGACTCTGTAAGCCTAATTCATAATGATTTTAAACAGTGCGTTTAACATTTGCTGTGTAAGCACCATAATAAATAAATTGTAAGCTCTTGCGCACAGGGATTCCCTGAGCCTTTTTTTTTTGTCTGTGCACAGTGCTTAATAAGCCCAGCTCAGCCCATCGATAAAATAAATGGTATTACAGAAGGGTCAGCTCGAGAGTGCAGTGAGATAAGCACCCCGGCCTGCATATATAACAGCAGGGATATTACTCCCCGAGGTGAAACGGGGCTGCGTCTTCCATCCAGAAATAAAGAATCACTTTCCTGGATGGTGAGTTTCTTTTCAAGCTGCCTCTAGAGACCACAAATCCAAATCTGGAAATACTGCAGCCCAGAGACAGATGGGGAGAAGGAGCATTAAGGAGCAAAACTGAGCACTGCTGATAAACATCACTTGTAATCGCTCATCTGGGACTCTTTCATTTACAAGAAGACTCCGAAGTTTAGGGCCTGGAAATGAAAACCGACCGGCAAACAGCGGCACATCCGAGCCAGGCTGCAGCAAGCGTGTGTGGCGGGGAAATGTTTTGTTTTGCTGTTTTTGGCAATATTTAAATTTTTCTTCTTTTAATTTAGCTACAAAAACAGAGCCAAAACAAAGTTTCAATTAAATCATCTGCCGCACTTTCCAATTAACACATTCATTTTAAAGACAAACGGCTACTGGAACGCAATGCCTATCATCCTTTGCCAGCTGGTAGAATAGTAAGACTTTCTTGAGCATTGCAGGGCTAGGAGGACAGGGACACTGTGCCCAGACCACCTAATTGAGATAAAGTATTGTGGATGGCTATAGTGTCCCTTTAATGATGAAGAAAGGCAAAAAAGATAATTTATTCATGCTCACAAAAAGGGATTCTTAGAGAATTTAGGGTGAGATTATTATACCTGTTAATTCACAATAGTGTACAAAGGACACTAGGTCATCCAAAACATGAAGAAAGAGATTTCACATACAGCAGTGAAAAATTAGTTTTTTTTTCAGAAGATCAATAAAGATGAAGAAATATCTGGCTACATATGCTGTTTTATCAAATTCTAAAACTTATTTATTCCAAAGTTGGACTTGCAATCCATAACAAGGTGAAAACAGAATATTCTCACAACAGTAATATTTTGCATGCCATGATGCGTCTCAGTTGGAAGATTGACCCCAGGTGGACATTCCTGGGAAATATATCTTACACAGCTCCTGCTAGCATGTGTCCTGGCATGACTCCGTTCTCCTCCCTTCTCTTCTCCCAATCCTCCACTTTAATCCCCAAGATTCAAACCATCCCCGATTGGCCCAAATCACTTGCTTGCTTCCAACCTTCAGAGTTTAGTGCAGGCGAAGCAACCTTTGGCACAGATGTTATGGACTACATCTCCCCTGATGCTTTGCCAGCATTAGGGCTGTAAGGGCATTATGGGAGATGTGGTCCACAATATCTGGAGTGTCGAAGGTTGCCTACCCCTATTTTACTAATACATTTCTACAACCCGACATACTGTACCCCTATACTATCCTGCAGGTTTTGGATGCAAATTATAAGAATGGCGAGGATTTAAAAGGAAAGTTTCCCAAGATTTCTTCACAGCCCCATAACATCTTCAAAAAGCGTTGATAATAGAAAAAACAATAATAACAAAAACTCTCGTTCCTCTACACTTCACTTGTTTCCATAGTCCAAGTTACTCTCTACGCTTTCATTCTTCCGTTCCTCCACAAACCCCTTTTACAAGCCGACCTAGACACAGGCACCTTATATATCAACCTCCCGTCACCTCTGACGTGTTATTCTTCTTACTGTGTTTTTTTTTTACCCCTTCCTCATATAGCGCCAGCGCGTTTCCGCATGCCTTCCTTCAGGTCTGGTTGTTTGTCAATTCCTTATTGTCAAAAATCCACAATACATGATTGTAACGTGGTATGGAAAATATTGGAGCTTTATAAATATGAATAACAATAAATAATAAAAATGATAATAATAATGAACTGTTGCGGCTTTGCTCCTTAAAATGTTCCTTTAAAAATTGTGTCCACACTTTCTATGTGCACACTTTTTAAAAAAAAAAATATCCCGCATGGTTCCCCCAGAAAGGAGATAAAAAGGGCATCTCAGAAATGAGAAAAATAATTTGCTTACATAGTCTCAAGTAGGTACTGTTAATGCACAAGTCAGGCACCGAAAAAATAGTAAGAGCAATAAAATATACTGCCACCTGCCAAGCTTGGAATAGCAAATCCAGGTGGAGTGTGACACAAGGTTTCAATATGATTTGATTTGAATGTTATTATTTTGGTTAAATCAGTTTTATGAAACACATAAAGTACTCCTTCTATAGTGTTCTTATTGCTATACTTCCATTTACTCCAGAGGAGGCAACTGTTCAATGAACAGCCACACTACATTTCCTAACATCCCCGATAATAGCTCAACACCTTTGGAAGCACTGTAAAATACACCAGCGTTTTAAGGGGAAAAAATGTATAATAATAACGAAAGAAGTACTGGCTTTCTCTAATTCAATTAAAGTCAATTTGGGACACTTAAAAAAACTACTGAAATAGAATTACAGAACTGCAAGAAAAGCTTTACTTGTACGTTAATTATGTTATTTAAAGTAGATACAGTACCAACCTTCATCTAAATGTTCATTTTCACCGCAATGTGATGTAAAATACACTGACACTTTATAAAGCAATTAAACTGGAAGATTCTGGGAGATTTTTTGGTAATAGGTTTCCATTTTCTGTTAGATTCATGATTTTATTTGATTTACTTTCTGAGATTTTTGTAATTTTGCCATAAGTCATTATACAGAAAATCCAACAGAGATTGACAGCCAAGTTCTCCTTATGGCAATGGTACATGGCACAAATCTTGCATTTTTGTGATATATAGGTTTATTTAAATTACCATCTACTGCTTGATAAATATTGAAGCGCTGTCAGCTGTCAATGAGCCTTTTAATATTTTCAAAGTGATCACATCTACCATTCTGATCGCAGCGTATGATTGGTCAAAATGAGCCCTCTACCTTACCTTAAACAGTCAAATTTAAGCAACCATAATACTTTGTGAATTCAACACCAAAAATGAGTTGATAAACAACAATTAATCCAAAGTTTGAAAAACTGTCTGCACACTTACGCTAATGAGTCCTTAAAATAAATAATAGATAAATAAGACTTTAACAATGATTTAATAAAGTTAAAATGATAACAGAGTTAATACCCATGTAAAGAATAATTAATATCTGATCAGAACATGTTTTTTAAATAATGCACTGTAAGAGGGGTAAAACAGGCAGATTAGATCTTTTGAAGTTTATAACCTCATGTTTCTGGAGTGTCGAACATCTGATTAACAGAGCTGACTGATATTAAACTCAGTTTTAATGATATACAGTCACCAGAGCACCTATAGCTTAATAAAGCAGTTTTTGTGTATAGATCATGCCCCTGCAGTCTCAAATGTTCAATTATCTGCCATTTAGGGGTTAAATCACTTTGTTTATGCAGCCCTAGTCACACCTCCCTGCATGTGACCTGCACAGCCTTCATAAACACTTCCTGTAACGAGAGATCTAATGTTTAAACTTCCTTTATTGTACAGTATGTTTAATTTAGATTATTTTATCTCTTGTTAATAGCCTTCTTGACTCTGCAGAAGCTTCCTGTGTGTGACAAAGTTCAATTTACAGAGCAGGAGATAAAACATCCAAAGCAAGTTAACATCTGTTTGAAAATGAAACCATTTTGTTTTCATACAGGCAGTGTGACATGTGGCTATAGCTGCATAAACAGAAAGAAAAGTAATTTAACTCCTAAATAGCAGAGAATTGTGCAACGAGACTGCAGGGACATGATCTATACACTAAAACTGCTTCATTAAGCTATAGTAGTTTTAAATGCCTATAGTGTCCCTTTAAGTCACACTAAAATCAGTTATACTACAGGGTTAATACAGGGCAAAAAATGTAATCAATCAGAAACAAGGTAGGATCAAAAGTTTCCCCATTTTTCTTTTTCTTTTAATGTGATAGTATTGCACCGGACCTCTAGATACAGTCTGTATCTACATTTCCCTACCTCCCATGTAAAGGCCTATCCTACCACCATAAATCTCAGCAATCACGGCACAGGGAAAAGGGATTTCTCACGTGAAGCTTTAATCCATTAAACATGTCACTTTTATTAGTTCACTGAGATTTTATAGGAGATTATTTATTAGTCTTGCCCGTTTACTTATAATTCTGCTATTTATTCAGTGTCGTTGTACAATGCAGAAAAATGCAGTACACAAGACTTTTGATTGAGTACAAATATATAAAAATCATCATAAAACCAGATAAGGAACTGCTTTGATAAACTGCCAATTGAAAGTCAGAATTTTTCTGTTTTGAGATAATTTCTGATTTATTTTTTTCTTACTAAGTATATTGTATATTTCACTAATTTTGCTCATCAAGAATTACATTCAAAGCAGAGATTTGTGAATTCACATATTTATAAATTTTTTTGTACCAGTTATGTAGAACCTCTATGAGTCGGGGGCATCCAGTAGGTGTATTCAGATTTGTAATCTATGAGAGAACTGTTTAAAGGCAAGTCAAATGCTCTGTTTGACAGATGAGGGGTTTGGTGAGATCTGATGGAACTTGATCTAGAACAGGGATCTCCAACTCTCGCCCTCCAGATGTTGCTAAACTACAACCCCCACGATTCATTGAATTAAATAGATAGCCAGAGAATCATGAGAGTTGTAGTTTAGCAACATCTTGAGAGCCAGAGTTTGAAAAAACATAATCTAGAACCCAGGGATGTGTCTACCGCGAGGCAAACAAGGCATTTGCCTTGGACGGTAATTTCCAGGGGCGGCAAAAAACACTGCCCCTAAATGCCCAGGCAAATACCTTGTTTGCCTCGTTTTATGGGAGCCCAAGAGCTGGCCGGAGGAATTTGAGTGAGTGTGTGTGTCGGTCAGTCAGTGTGTATGTGTCGGTCAGTGAGTGCGTGCGTCTCTCAGTGAGTGCGTGCGTCTGTCAGTGAGAGTGTGCGTCTGTTAGTGAGTCTGTCAGTGAGTGTGTGTCCGAGTAAGTATATGTCTGTCTATCAGTGTGTCAAATCAGTGAGTGTGTGTATGTCATTGTTTGTCAGTGTATATGAGAGTGTGCGTCTGTCAATGAGTGTATGCATCTATTAGTGAGTGGGTGCGTCTGTCAGTCAAAGTGCGGCCTTGGCACGAAGGGGTGGGGGTGCCTGAGCACAAATCCTAAAAACACCATTGCTAGAATCTGCTTATTGCTTTCTTCACCCGTTAAACCACAGATATACCTGTCTATGTTGTTTGTTGTTGTTTACAGCTATCAGTGACATCCAGGGATCTCATTTCTGCATACAGGGAACTTCTAGGAACCAAGCCAACCTTTGTACATGTTATAGTTTTTGGCCTAAATAATTACCAGTATTTTTGCATGTTCAATGTCATATATTTCAATGTCATGATATTAAAAAAAAACTTAGTAGCATTATGAATTGTAAACACACACATATACCTTTCAAACTGTCCAATCTCCACTAAGGAACAGGTATAGGCAGGGCCGCCATCAGGGCATGACAACCGTAATGGTTGTCATGGGCCCGGCAGTCCTGAGGGGCCCGGACTGCTCAGGTCGTCTGGCCCCCACATTCAGTGGTGTACATACCGGGTCGCAGGGGGCCCTGTGACCCCGGTATGTACCCACTGGGCCAGCCTCCTCTCCTGGGGGGCCCAGCAGCCAGTCATCTCAGGGCCCCCCAGAAGCTGGCCCTGCTGACACCCGACGGTCGGACGCGCGAGGGAGCACTCTCCCTGGCTGAGTGCTTCCTCTTCAGCTCCCTCGCGCACCGCACTGATGCCGGAGCCGGAAGATGACGTCATCTTCCGGCGCCGGCATCAGTACGCTGTGCGCGAGGGAGCTGAAGAGGAAGCACACAGCCAGGGAGAGTGCTCCCTCACGCGCCCGCCCGCCGGGTGACACCACTGGACCCCAGGGAATCCCCTCAGCACTCCTACAGGTAGGGAGGCTGGGGGGATGGGAAAAAAATAAAAAAATTGTATGGAAGGAAATTTGAGGGAGGGGGGGAGAGGAAGGAAATTTGAGGGAGGGAGGGGGGAGAGGA